ATCTTCAAGTTGAACACAGTTTTGTATTCATTATTTCAACATACCTTCGATATAGTGGTTAATTTAGTCCAATGAATCCAATCCTAAATACCAAACATTTCATAAAATAAACCTTGATGTACGCAGAAAATCCAAATATTTTTAAATAGATTTATGTTATGTTATTGTTTACATCAGAATATGTGTGTATGATCTATAAGGCAATACACAAGGGCTTAACATCCCGGACGAAACACTTAAGCCAAAAATGTATGTGTGTGTGTGTGTGTGTGTGTCACGTTCAGAATTTACAGCAGAGAAATCGCATCACCCAGTGCCGGTGCTGGTGCAATTGTCGCTCGTCAGCGCTCCCCATTCTCGCCGGGCTGCCATTCCATTCCGAGGATAATCTACTCATCATGTCAAAATTCAAATAGAAAAACTATGATTATCCACATAATCACATATTACGACAACTGACGAAAATATATAAGAGCAAGCAGTAGAAATTTGGGTTAGTGAAGTTATGAGAATTTACATGGGAAAAGCGAAAGACTCGGAGCTAGTTGTGCTGCTGCTCGACCGATGAGAGATGCTGCCAGAACCCGGTATTCCTCTCAAGTACGAAAATGAGCCCGAAGGAAGTTCGGATGCAGAGGAACTGGATTCTCCGCGGCAATGCTGGTGTCGTTGACACGATTCTGCTAGGCCATCTGACATCCTATCTTTCGACGAATCATGCCTCAACAAGTTTTCCGTTTCTGGGGCATGAAACTTCGCTCCGATTGTATTTTCTAGGTCACCTTTTAAAGAGGCATTGCTTGTCCGGCTGTTGTCGCCAATTGCCTTAGTTATTGATAGTCCTATTGAGTTTGCAGCCAAGGCTGCGTTACTTGTACCCTAAACAACTCGAAAATGGAAACGGAATCAAGTAGGTATGTACTAGTAGTGTATGCGTACAATATTTCCAGTATGTATGTGTCCGTATTGCTCGATTTATGCAGTGGTGATCGAGCATTGATTCGTGCTGGAAGTTTGCAAGTCTAGATAATGACACAAAAATGTGACAGCAATTAAAAATCCAAAACCAATCTTTTGGTTCTCCACCTTTTTTAATGTCTCAAAACGCGTAAAATAAAATCCAACTGGTTGGTCGGATTTGCCATCTGATACTGACCCTTAAACCTAATGAAATGGTAGTATCGTCGGTGGCATTAATCTACTCCGACTGTTTAAGACAGGACAGAAGAGCATATTATCCTTCAACAGTTGCATCCTAATTTGTAAGCATTTGCATCCTACTCACTCAAAGGTAAAATGCGTCAGTTGACAGTATTCCGAAGACGCAACAAATAAGACTTTTATGTTCAAGGGATTCAGTTCGAGCAACGAAATATTTAGCGACTTACCTGTCTAACCAAAATCACTTTTTCGGATATGATCTTCTTGATTGAATGATCATTTGAAAGATCATCCTTTTTGCCGTCGTTCTCATCGGTTGAAGTGGATGACTCCGAGTCCAGAGATTCTCTAATTGACTCGCCCTCGCTGTCCGGATCAGAATCAAGTACGCAAGAAAAGCTACTATGATAGGATTCACAGTGCTCTACGAAACACTTGTCCTCGCATCGAACTTCCTTGTCAATGCCAATGTCCTTAAAGAACTGGTAGTTGCTGCTCCCTTGAAGGAATGCAACCAGCTCTGGCAAGTCATAGTCCATAGTAGCCGTTCTAGTAGAATTCATCCAAGCCGCGCAATCACTAGCTGTCACGGCGTCCCTTGTAGAGTGCATATTCCGACTGTCATCTGGATGTGGTTTTAGAACCGCCTCACCGTCTTGACTTAGCAAATCGGAAATGAACATATTATCATCATCGTTCGAACTAGTACTTTTCTCCACCTTCAATCCCTTCGTGGCTTCAGAACTTTTGAACTTGAAGGACTTGTAAACAGGCTGGAAGACCGCGGTTGAATGGACATCCATGGACTCCCTATTGAACTGGTAATCAATACGAAAGAAAAGCTAAAACTTACTAAACAGAAGGCACCACCATTTCATCACAACCTTCTCCGAACAATCCAGACTTTAACAATCCTTCCGCGACCTGCATTAGCGAAAATCGTACTTCAGAGGCAGGGTTTTGTTTCAACAGATTAATAATCGAGATTAAAACTTAGGTTGTTTAATTTAATCCACATAAATAGACGTCAAGAATGCAGGTGAGATTGGGAAAAAAGTAACAAAAATCATGAACTCACCAGTGCAGCTGTTGGAGGGCTGATACAAAATCCTGAGGCCAAATCACCATGAAGAAAAAATAGGAGGAAGCAACAAATATAAGGATAAGAACTTGCAAAATAAGCACTTTTGTATTTAAATAAAAAAGCAGGGAAAAGCAGAATCTGGCTTACGAGGTAAGAAGATGACCAATTCCTTCCGTCTTTTAAAAGCAAACAGATTTTACTGAAAACTCTTCATAAGCAAACGAGCCGAGCCTAGCAAAGTTGGCTGAAGTAGTGTAGCCCTCTTCTCGAGAGTTTGATTTCTCTCCTTTAACTTAAATTAGATTAGAATACCGCTTCAATACAAAGAATGAATTTAAGAGATAAGGCGTCCTGATTTTGGACAGTTTTTTTACCAGGAGCAAATGCAGAAAATTATTAAACTTCCAAACTTGTGTAACAAATCCAATGAAAATTCCCTTATAAGCAAAAAATTATTCAATGTGCAGGGAATTGTATTATTATATTTGATGAGATGTACCGAACTGTGTTCTCGGCACAATGTAGAGACCAGATCGTGTTCTCGGCACACTGAAAAATTTCTTTACGTGAGCATGGTTACTTGGCACATGGGAATTTGCGTATTTGTGAGAACACATATGGTGAGGTTTAATTACTAGTAGGTGAACTGAACGTCACATATAATCCTGATTTAAATTTCTTCTGCCAACTAATTTTCTGGATTATGTTGCCCTCTTTTTTTGGTTAATACATTAATTAAGTTACCAAAAAAAGAGAAGGAAAAACCCATGATTCAATGTTTCTTCTTTCAAAATTTTCTGGTTGTTATAAAGACGGTTGAGATGGGGAAGTAAACCTATTCGAATCTCCTTTCTTATCTAAGTTAGAATAGTTTAAAAGCTCTTCAATCTCATTAGAGAAATGCTAAAGGAACTTTTCATGGACTTTCTGCCACTTTACAGTTTGACGTTAATTCTTGTGCCAACAATATAAAATATTGTGCAAAAAATATGAGGTGACAGAGAATCCATAAAGAGTCGTCTTAACCAAAAACATTGTGAATATTATACTTAATCGAGATGAGAAATGTTAAGGAGCTATCTTAAAAGTGGGAGTCTCTAAGATTCTCTATTACCTTATGTTTTTGGTATAATATTTTATAATATTAGAACGGAAAGTAACGTTAAACTATAAAGTGGTAGAAAATATATCGAGAGTCTCAATTTGAGATGGTCACCCTTATCATTTCTCATTTCTCTAATCCAAGTTTTGTAGCTGTGAAAGCTCCTTCTAGCACCTTTTGGTTACAATTATTAATTAAATATCTTTCTTTTGGTGATTAAATAATTATATTTGGGCAAAGCCCTTACTAACTAAAGTTAATTATTTGACTTAAGCTGCATTAAGATCTAAATCTTTACCAGAAGGTATTTAAAAAGCCACAGAAAATGCCGAAAACTAGGAAGATAGGATTCTCAATTCACCAACTTTTCATAACCTAAATTACTCGACAAAATAATCATTTAATTAAATTACAATTGATAAATAAAATAAAATTACCTACCTCTCTACCATTCCAGATGAATCCCAAGCAGGTTCTTCCGTGCTGCTCTGCATCTACATATATGCTCAACCATAATGCATGTATTTAGAGTCGAGTGGGAGGGGCTTGCAACTCAAGCGGTTATGAACATTTACATTGAGATTTTGTGTTTTTTTCATCTCGGGTATCGCTTGTATAAATGAAAAATGTATCCAAAGTCCAAGGAATGAATGAAACACAGAATCTTGTAGATTATGTTTCCTTGGTGGCATCTCCTTTTTCTTTTCCTTTTTTTTGTTCTTGGGGACAGACCCACATGTCCTACTAAATAAGCACAATTATCTGCTATTTACTCCTTTCACCAGGATTTTCTTGGCAACCAAACAGGTGGTTACTTGTGAAATCAAAAGAATAATAAAAGCAGGTGGATTTTAAAAGAAAAATGAATAAAGAATAAATAGAATTTTCCCATGAATTAGCAATCTTCTGCAGGTGACTTTGCTATAAAATCTAACAACAACAAAAAAAAAATACTTAAAAAAGAATTACTTGAGAATTCAGATAAATAATCAACAAAATTGAACACTTGGCAGTTGGTACCTGCCTAATTACTTGAAACTCCGAACAGATTTAATTACTCTAAACATAAAATTGGATCAATTTAACTAGTTCATGATGTATCTTTGATGTAGGACAAGATGTAGGTCAATTTTGACGAAGAAAATTAAAGAAAATAAAATGTTTCAAATTCTAGAAAGCAGAATTAAAGTTGAAAATATTGAATTCAACCGATATGACAACATAAAAGACGTAACACACAATGAGAATTTACATATTGGATTTCCGAGCTTTGGTTTAGGAGCATAATACCTTACCAAAAAGCGTGCAATGTCCCAGTTCAAACTCACTGCTTTTGCTATCATTTACAATTGATTTTGGGCATCTGAAGCCGTTCAAGCTCCCAAAAACATGTTTAAAAGTTTGTAATAAAAATTCGAACTTTTTGATTCATATTGTAGACTCAATGAACCACCAAATATAAATGTGAGCTTGCCTTTAAGTTGGTTCAATTTAATTTATAGAAATCAATTAAATATCAACAACATAATTATAAAAATTTGATGACACAATAGCTAAAAATCGACCACATAGCGAAAAACTCCTCAACTCAGCAATTGAGATTTGAAAAATATTTATTTTGGCCAAGTTTCCAATTTAATTTCTTTTGTTGGTAAAAGAGAGGACATTTTGGTAAAACGCACTATTCGTTGAGAAATCGATTGTTCGAAAGGAAACTGTTTTTGAAAACGCTGCTGCCCCCGACTGTGCCACTCTATCTCTGCAACTTTTGATTTTTGAATTTTGTTTTCAGAAAGAAAAAAAAATCGGGGAAGAAGGAGGATGTACGACCCGCAGCACTTCCTGGAATCGCAAGGACAATTCGAGGACTTTCGGGGACCCGAAATCCTGGCTTTCCGGGGATGCCAACTCGTCCCCGACTCACCGCCCTACTCAGTCCTCACTGGCTCACTCCTCCACCGCCACCAACAGCAATCTCGATCGCGTCCTCTTCAAAGACCTCGTCGAGATCGTGCCTCTCGTCCAGTCCCTCATCGTAATCCTTCTCTCTCTCTCTATCTTGAACTGTGAATTTCAGGGCTTTCTAGGATTTTCTTTCCAAGGTGTTTGGTGGCCGATGAAAATTGGGGAAAATAGCCGTTACTGGCGGACTTGGGATGAATTGGGTAGTTCTAAAGATTGCTGCTTTGCTTGTTTCTGATTGGGTTTTGAAGAAAATTGAATGGGGATTTTGAAATTAGTTATTTATTTTGCTTCTTTCACGATGTCATGGAAAAAATCTTTCAGGATCGGAAAGCTAGCAATTCGTTTACGCGGCGGGGTTCGGTGGCGTACACCAAGACACCTTCAAGAGAATCCTTATCCAAAAAAGTATGATGTTTCGGTTTTCGGAACTTGTGATTGTTAATCTCTGTGATGAACAATGGCATTCTTTAAATTTTGTTACAGTTACTATGCACACAAGTAATGCTTGCTACTCGTATTGTTTTGATAGCTTTATTAATTTAAGAACAATTAACTGTGATTTATGAGGGAAAATTGTGTGCTTTTATAGTTGCAGTAAATCCAATTGTAGTAAAAACTAGTCTAGGTTTCGCTTTTACCATGATGGAATGTAAAATTGGTGGTGTTTGGACCATCGATTGGTGTCGTTCGAAGAATTTCACATCTGAATGTGTTCCAAGGCCTCAAATAATTTATTTTCCTTTATGGTTTGTTTAGTTTGTATATTCCTTATGAGGAAACAAGTAATGCAAAATTTAAGAGGTTCATTCGATTCGGTGGATTATTGATGCCAAATTTCCATTACCAATCATCCTTGGATTTCATTTGATTCTAAAGCTCTTACTTCGTATGTCAGTTCAGTTTTTTAAGGGTTATAAAAGTCTTCTGTATTCCTAACTTCGATCAATTTTACTTCTTTGCATGATTCTCAAATGGGTTCCTAATGTTCCTCTCCTCTTATCTTCTAAAGGTTGAACAAAAAGGGAGGAATGCGGCTCAATCCATTCCTGCAAGAAAGAAGAGGATCATGGTGACAAGGACTCAAGCAAAAATGCTGGCAGCCTTGATGCTGACAGCTTTTCAAGTTTTTCCTCGAGGGCTTCGGCAGTGGAAAAAGAAGAGTTGGATACATTAAGGGTACAGGTGGAAGATTTACAAAAGAAAGTAGCAGAGAAGGAGGAACTTTTAAAGTCATCGGAGATCTCAAAGGACCAAATGAATGCAGTTCAAGCAAAACTGAATGAATATAAGCAACAAGTTTCGGAAAAAGATGCAGTAATAAAGGCTGTTAAGCAACAACTCTCTGATGCAAAGGTATGTATGCATCACTTGGTGCCTTGGCGGTGATTAGAGAATTCTCATGATATTTTATTGCATTGTGATACCTGACCTTATTCCATCTGGAATTTTGCACTTGTGAACTGTGGTTGTAATATTAATTGTGACATTAGTTTTGATCTTTATCCAAATTGGCACGATTGTCTGAAACGTTACCTGTGTTAATGCAGAAACAGATATCTGTGTTCTTTATTATTTTATACAATGTTCGGATCTTCTTATTAACTTTTGGTTTAATCTAGACCACAATATAGCCACTTGCCTAAACTGGAGTATCATCACGGACTCTCTCTCTCTCTGATGCGCACACACAACTCTATTTTGTGAATTATAACGTTATTAACATCCGTCCTTTTTCACAGATTAAGCTTGCAGACAAGCAAGCTGCTTTGGAAAAGTTACAGTGGGAAGTGATGACATCCAACAGGAAAGTGGAGAAGCTCCAAGGAGAGCAAGACTCTTGAAAGGACAGATGTCATCATTTATGCTCCTATTTGAAAGCTTGATGAAAGCTGATCCCGTTGTATACGGTGAAGATTATGATATTTCAACGAATACTGTGGATCATCTTCCTCACATTGTAAGTTCACAACCCTGTCCCTTGGATATGGTGGTTCATTTCCTTTATATATTTTTTGGTTTGTTCTGTTATTTGTTGTTTTATATACTAACTAATCGCTTGAGACACCTCTATATTGCAATCCGATTCCTGTATCATTACTGTTAAATTTTCAGATATCTGTTCGTTCATTACTTGGTTACTGTGTGTGGTTAACCAAATCGCATGTGTTGAGAATTGTTTGTTCATGTATGTGTATCTGCGTGTTGGCTGCTGCATTCCTTGCAACTTAAAGATCCTTGCTTTAATGAACAGGATGATTTGGATGAGGCACATATGAAGAAAATGGAAGAAGCTAGAAGAGCATACGTCGCTGCTGTTGCCGCTGCAAAAGAAAAGCAAGACGAAGAATCTATTGCCGCTGCAGGCAGTGCAAGGTTACATCTTCAGTCATTTGTTCTCACATGATTTAGGTTTAGCGCCGCTAGGTATTGACCGGCTTTGCGTTGCGGTGAGTCTGCTTGAATTATTGTTTATTGTTGTATATTTTTGTTTTATTTCTTCCCTTTTGCTGGGTTATGTGAAATGTGAGTCTTTCTTTTCTTGTTTATCTAGTTTTCGGGATGATATACGTGATTTTTGTTGATAATCGTACGTGATTTCTCCCTCGATCAAACGTTTTATTATTATCTTCTGTTTTCGCTAAATGAACACGAAGATTAAATTGCTTTTCTGAAAACACAATGAATTGGTACTTCGTCTGTTCGAATTCAGCAGTTTGGAGGTCATGCCAGTCGATCGGACGCTAAATACTGTCCAAAGATACAAGCACAAACGTATGAACCGTAAATCGCGATCGTTTTATTACTTCTACTAGACACAAAAATTTGCTTATGCTTAATCTAATCTCAAGGGGTAAAAATTTGAGAGAAACACATTGCAAATTTCAGAATCTACAGCATTGAAACTGGAAGCCGATGCAGCGAGCCTTGTGCTTTCTCAAGTCCATGGCTTCCGATTTCGGCATTTGCACAGGACTGCCAGTCCATTCCCATCCCAACCTGTGATCATGATTTCGCACAAGTATTATCAGGAATTAATCATGTATTAATTTAATTAATTGCCTAACTATATTGTAAAACAACGTATTTGGTAACGTACACCGGAAACGCGAAGGAGCCTGTGCTGCCGTCCGATTGATTTGAATCGCTTGATTCAACTGACACGGTCGGACGATTCTCGACATTGCTACTCGGAGGCGGTTCTTGACCGGAGTAGGTTTCCTCGTCTTCCTCGTCCTTTGCAAAATAATTATATTTCAAGAAAAGAAGATATAAGGTAGAATTACTTTACATGTAAGCAGTCATTCCTTCGTACAGACAAATCACAGTTTATAACGAACGTGCATATTCTTTGGAAAGGAAAATTTGAAACATAAAAGAAGGGACTCTACCTTTTGGTCAAAGATGATAGATTTTCCATCATTTGTGGGGTAAATATCATAAGCTTTTCCAGTCAACCTCTCCTCATTGCTACGCCTTTCAACTGCCTTTGTATCCTCCCCATAACTAAGCTGTTTTGATCAAACAAAAGCAAAAGAAATTAATCAAATTAACCTTCTTTTAAAGGGGAAATTTCCCCTTCTCTCGGTCATCAACACTGTCGCAATTCCTAACCTTCCGATTGACATGCCTCGGCGAGTTTCTTGACGCGCAATCTCTCACGTTCGACGCTTCCACTTTGCCGTTTTTCACAACTTCAAATGCTCCATCTTCTTTAAAGCAGAACACTATATACTCCTCCTCATCTGAAAAATGTGGCCTGCAGCTTGAGTCATTAGAACTCGTATTTTCGACCGGGGAACTGCTGTCTTTAACTTGTTTAGGACCATGTTTTAATCGTCGCTCTCTGTCACATTTTTTGTGCCGCGACATCTTTTTCCCCATCTCATTGCTTCTGCTTTCGCCCTGCGTATCGAGAGCCATGTTTCGTATTGGCAATTGCGGCATTGCAGGGCAAAATCTCCCGGCTGGTTCATCATCTATATAAACAAAAAAGAAGAAGAAAAACAAAAAGGATGACCCGATTTGAAATAAACTACGATAGTTAAGATCAAATACCTCCTAAATAGGGTTTTATTTGAATGTTTTATCGATCATTGTGCTTACCCAAAGGAAACCTGCAAGCCAAGAAACATGAAGCCCAGCCCTTCACGCGCCATCTCACTAGCCTTGTCATTGTCCATGGTGTGCTGCACATTTTGATTATCTCAATTTGAGAGAGAGAGAGAGAGAGAGAGAGAGAGAGAGAGGAGGCAAAACTTAAATGACTATTTGAATTTGAAAAAAGGGGGATGAATGTCAAGGGAGTTACAGTGTTAATCCATAATTAGTAATTAGTCAGTTATGTTGCTAAACATTGTAAAACGAAAAAGAAAAGAAAGTTATGTAATTATTATTGCTGGCAAATCATCCCCTAATTCATGCCAAAAAAAAATCATGGTATATTAATACAGTGGCGGTCAAACACCAAAAATTATTAATAAATATAACGGTATGATCTAATTAATCTGAGAAATTGTGTGTAACATTATAAATCTTCTAGTAGTGTATGAGCGTGACATTGTATCTGATAATTGCATCCATTTGGTCCGCAGAATGAGTTCTTGCAATGCAAAATCCGCGAGCAAGCCTAAACATGCCGGTGCCTCCAAGGACCGGCATCTCCCTCTCTTCGCTCATCACCGGGTTCCGACCCACCACGCTAAATGTGCTGCCGTTGTAAGCTCCACTAGTGAACCCATACGTTAGTGTCATGAGGAGGCTGAACTCGTCCCGTTGCGAGGCCATGGAGTATATCCCTTGCGCCCGTCCCATGAGGGCGGACTTGGGGTCAGGCGTGGCCGTGAGAGGATTGTCCATCATGTAAACTGACCCGAAAAGGGCAGCGATTGGGTCCGTGCCTGTGTAGTTGGACAACCGGCCTGCAACTCTTACTGCGGTCGGGTTTGGCCCGCCTACGACGTCGTGCATGTAGAACTGCATTTTGGTGATGCTGCGTTTCAAGCCCTCTGTGGTAGGGGTACAACACGTTAATGCAAGAGCTGCAATGAGGAGGAGGAGCTTGCTAGTCACAGCAGCCATGGCGGATTCTCTTCTTTCTTTCAATTTCTGTAGCTGCTAATAATGCAGATTGTAATATATGCATCTATATGTGTATGTATACGTGTATATATAGATCCACACTAGTTTTTTCAACGGCAGAATGGTCCATGATGTTAATTTCTGGTAGGCTTTTCACAGATGCAGAAGAAAGTTGTTCCCCTTCAAATATGATGGGCTAGAATATATATATCTTCCAGAATATTTACTTTGCATGTAAGTTTGAAACCTAAACGTCACGCTTATGGACCTACTCACTGTTTCTTCTGCCATTTCAAATAATTTGAACATAGGTTGGTGATTGGTCGGTGATCATTCAATTTGGCAAAGAATAATATTTCTGCAAAACAATGAAATTAGGCAATTTATAATGTCAAAATAATACAATCAAGGGGAGAGAGTCCAACTTAGGCAAGTGATTTTCGCATAAAAAAATGAGAACCACATGTGTTTTTTTCTCCATACAAACTTCTTTTTATCATGCTGATTATAATTGATTTATTTATTTTGTGGATCAGAAATATAAACCTCTTTGCAATCATGTTCGTTATTTATATTTAATTTATTCAATCTGATCATAAATAAAGAAAAGTGCGTAGAAGAAGAAAAAAAAAATGTAATTATCATTTTTTTTCTCACTTGCCTAACATTCCTCCCCCTTTTCTAGTCTTCAATAGTTGAAAAAGAAAGAAAAGAGGGGTTTAAGACATAAAATTACTATTGTCAAAGAAAATTAAGAAATTAAGGCTATAAAAAGTCAACAAAATAAACAAGGATGAGTGATTGGAGGAGGACATTAAGGACAAGTAACCTCGATTGCAAAATAAACGCTTTTAACTAATTAAGTTTTTTTTTTTTTGAACAAACGATATTTCTACTTTAGGATTGAAAGCGTTAATTTTTTCTTCTCACTTGCCTAACATTCCTCCCTCTTTTCTAGTCTTCAAAAGTAAAGAAAGAAAGAAAAGAAAATTGATTGGCATAAACAAAGAGGGGTTTAAGATATAAAATTACTATTGTCAAAGAAAATTAAGAAATTAAGCAATTAAGGCTATAAAAAGTCAACAAAATAAACAAGGATGAGTGATTGGAGGAGGATATTAAGGACATGTAACATCAATTGCAAAATAAACGCTTTTAACTAACTAAGTTTTTTTATTTTTATTTTTAACAAACGATATTTGTACATTAGGGTTGAAAGAGTGAATATTTTCTTCTCACTTGCCTAACATTCCTCCCCCTTTTCTAGTCTTCAATAGTAAAAAAAGAAAGAAAAGAAAATTGATTGGCATAAACGAAGAGGGGTTTAAGATATAAAGTTACTATTGTCAAAGAAAATTAAGAAATTAAGCAATTAAGGCTATAAAAAGTCAACAAAATAAACATGGATGAGTGTTGATGAGCATGATGAGTGATTGGAGGAGAACATTAAGGACATGTGACCTCGATTGCAAACTAAATGCTTTTAACTAACTAAGGTTTTTTTTTTTTTTTTTTTTTTTAATTTTAATTTTTATTTGAACAAACGATATTTCTACTTTAAGGTTGGAAGAGTGAAGTAAGCCTCGCAATGGGCTAGCAATAATGTGGTTCAAATTTGCTTTTGGCGAGAATCGAACTTAAGATCTCTCACTTACAAGTGAAGAGGAATATCACTAAACTGTACTACTAAAACCTACTCCAACCTTTGAAGTAAACTCAAATTTTAGGTTCTAAATTTACTCCAATTTGCTCCAACCCTAGAGGCAAATATGATTTTTAACACAAAATTCATTTATGGGGCAAATTTAGGCCATGATTCCCCCGGTTTAGTGGGCCGGCCTGTCATATATGTGTATTTTTTTAGTTTTATATTTATAAATTCATTGAATCCAACATCTAAGATCTAATATGATCAAATTCACCTATAAAAAAAAAGATATCTAACGGTCCAAATTTAAATCCAACGGCTAAAGTAATAATTTTTTTTTTTTTAGTAAGTTTCATATTATTCATAACGTTCCACGAGTTTTATGGTGTTGATTTAGTGATTTTTCAATATTTATCGAAATCTAAATATTTTTATGTTAAAATGTTCATAAAATTAAATTAGAATAGTCTACATAATTTTTATTTTAATTTTTAAAATGTTAGTTGAACAAAAAAATTATCTTAAATTCATTCTTTAATAACATCGGACTAAAAATTTAACTGAAAAGAGTTAAAGCAGAAAAATTATTTCTGAATTAAAAATTTTAGATTTTAATCTAAAGATTAGAGATGCTCTAAATGACTCTTAACCAGTTGAATTACCTGAAAGTTTGTCAGCATGATTGATAAAATGTTGGCCCACAAGATACACAATTACCATTGGGTATTTAATGTTCCCTTGGGCCTAGGATAGAACATCATTTGGGCCTAGTGCAATGTCACGTGTCAAGAACCAAAACCGCACGTGACCTGCGCCAAATAAAAGTTACAATCAGAGAGAGAGAGAGAGAGAGAGAGAGAGAGAGAGTGACAGCCTGAAATTCCCCCGCCAAACCCAAAAAGCAAAAACCAGAAGAAACCCTTGCTGCCAGTGAGAATTCCGAAGCTTGGGAGAGAAGCAATTGGAGCATGGCGGAAGGCCTGATTGAGATCCAGGTCCGTGCGCTGGAAGGCAAACCGGCCACGGTTTCGGTCCCGGTCGACGAAACCATCGACGGCCTCAAGCTCCTTCTCAAGCAATTTTTCCCACCCGCCAAAAGCTCCCCCAATTTTCACCTTTTTTTCAAGGTAGCAATTCTTTCTCTCCTTCTCTTTGTTTTCAAATTAGGGTCCTTTTACATGTAAGTCTTAGACGGGATTACACTTTAGAGAAAAACACTTCAAAGCGGAATACTTTAGAAAAACACCCTTCTTAATTTGGAGTGGGAGAAGGCCAACAAGGGAAATGTTGCAATTTACTATCTTCTTTTTTTTGTGTAATTGTGTGTCAGGGTGAGAAGTTGAGGCTGCAGAGTCAGATTGGAAGGCTCAACATTCGTCCGGGTGAGTTTCTAGTGCTTGCCCCATTTACTAAGAAAGACCCGAATTGTAATGAGACCCCGAAATCTGAACAAACGAAAACACCAGTGAATTGTCCTAGTAAAAGCTCGATTAAGAAGTTTGCTGATTCGGTGTGGTCTGATATGATGGAAGACTTAACCTTTTTACATGACAATTCAAATGATAAAACTCCGAAGGGGCCTAGTGTAGGAAGTTTCAATCTTGGAGGTAGAAGTGAGGTAAATGATGAAGCCGCTAGTTCTCGCTCTTGTGGAGCAAAGCGAAAAATGGGAACTTTTGATTGTGATGACATTGTATTGGATATATTGCGTTCTAGTAGAAATAGAAATGTCCTTGATGAACAGAATTTTAAAAGGTTTATTGAGGTTTTGGAGACGGTGAGTTGTTTATCAGACCCTTATTCCCGGGACTGCTTGTTGTGGAGAAGAGCTGTTTTGCGGCAACAGGGCTTTGGCACCGGACTGCATAAAGGCAATAGTAGTTCATGCTTGTGTCCAGCGTGGTTGAAGATAATCATGAAGGCATTTGCTTTCTTAAACACTTTTTCTGCATTTCTTCAATTACAGCAGGTGAGAACAACCTCAATCGTTTTGGAGCAAGCGTTGCACCAGCTTGGGAAATTTGGAGTTAGGCTTAGTATGAAGGACATAGAGCATCTTTCCATTATTTCTCCTAAGGTAATTTATGCCGCCATGTGAACACACTGAGTGTAATATAATCTATGCCATCTGGTTTTTTGTTAATGCAGGTAGTACATCTTTACTGTGTGTAATATAATCTTTGCCATCTGGATCTTTGGTAATGCAGGTAGTACATTTTGCAAATGAGAATGCAGAGCTGGAAGGTTCTGGTAATGTACTTGTTATTATCAATGGTTCAACAGGACAGAATGGTACGAAATGAAGATCTTCGTAAATATGGTATGTGAAGATGTGCGATTTTTTTTTTTTTTACCATTTCCCGAGTTTTCTAAAATAAATATATGGGCGTTTAACTGGATAGTTTTGTTTACATATGGTCATGTTCATGTTTGCTAGCTTGCAAGCAAATGGATATTTCAAAGATTATCAATTTATCGAAAATACGGGAAAGTTCTTTCAGAAGTAATTTGTGGAGGCTGTAGAGTTGTTAATGGTATGTCTAATTGTTC